CTCCTCCCTCTGCCAGACTGGGCCCTCCTCTGATTGTATCAGGCCTTCCCTTCTGTATTCTAGACAGAGAGAAAGAGGAAAAGAGGAATAATGAGAGGCAGAGAGGCAGGAAGCACAACAAAGAAGGACTAGGAACTTGTAAGAACATGAGAAGAGCCTGGTGGATCAGCCCAAGGGCCCACCTAGTCCAGCATCCTGTTCTCACAGGGGCCAACCAGATGCCCTTTATGGGTAGCCCCAAAGCAGAGGCTGGGCACAGCTGCCACTCTCCCCTCATGAAACTTCCATCAACTGGCATTCAGAAGCATCCTCTGAGTTCCAGTGTTATCTGAGAGGGAGAAAAACTTTCCTCAGCCCACCTTCTCCAGGCCAGGCATAATTTTATCGGCTTCTATCCTATCACCTCTTGCGAGGGTGATATGGAGCCAGTGCCTGAGGGTGAAGGAGAGGGGCTTGGCAGGTGGTTCTCAGTTTACCAGAAGAGGTAAGTTTCTGGAGCCTGTCTTCTCCACTGCCCATCCACCTGCTTTTCATTGCTGTTTTGCCCTCTTTGCTCCTTCTTGCCCCTCTGGTTTCTTTCTTTCTGTTTCTCTTTTGAGATCATGTAATGAGCAGCTAGGCTGCATTTTGACATGCCAGATTGAAAGAGCAGAAGTCCTTGCAAGTGTTGGCGGCGGAGGGGGCTGGAGAAAACTGCTTCCCCTTTAAATCTCCCCAGAAAGAGGCTGATCCATCTTTACTTCCCTGGGGAATGAGCTATTTTTTCTGTTCCATCCTAATTAAAATGAAGAGCTGGGATGCTCAGCCAGAGGCCTGCCTGGTCAAGAGTGAGCGCTGGGACCACAGACAGCATCCATCCCTCAGAGCTACGTCTCCCTTGTTGCTTTCATCAAGGGAGCTGGGTGGGACTGATGCAGAAAACAGAAGAAAGGGTTTGAACTGCAACTGTGCAAAGGATTTAGGTCCCCAGTTAAGGAAGGAAGCCTGTTTCTTCCTCACCTTCTTAGGAAGATCAAGAATTAAAGCCCCAGACCTCCCCCCAAGCAGCCGCAATGTAGAATCTTGAAAGGCCTTCCCTGGGGTGCTCTGTCCTTGTGTATGGCATGATGCTTTGCTGTCTCCCCTCTCATACAGATTCTCCAATGTGTACATTTAGTTTTAGAGTAGCACATGCATTCCCCCCTTCTTGGAAAGGCACATCCTAGCAAGAGGGGCAGCTTTGGACTGTTAAAAACTGGAGGAATCTGGTGTCACTTCCTGGTCCCTAGATTTGTAGCTTGCTATCACCATTCCCTGTATTTCCAATTTCAGTCTTAGAGCGCCATGACTTTTTGCACCATCCATACATGAGAAGGAACTATCAGTGGAATTGGAACCAGCCCCAAGGTTTGCATAGGTAAAAAAAAAAAAGATTTGAGAGTAAGACAGCAGATTTGGTGGGGGCAGGGGAGGGTAAGGTTTCAAAACAGCCCAGTGAGGACTGTGCATATTAGTGTCCACAGGAGGCTGATCCAGGGAAGGGGCAGAAAGCCAGAGCAGGGGCGGGGGGGGGGGGGGCGGGGCGGCGGAGAATCCTGAACATCTGCACTTGCTGCAGGTCCAGGGGCATGACCAGGATTTTTGTTTGGGGACAGGACTTTTGTTAGGGGAGCAGAAACAAGCTTTCTGCAGTATGATTGGTCAGTTAAGTATTTTTATTTATTTACTTGATGGGGGGGCAGCTGCCCGCCCCCTCCCCCTTTGGCTACACCCATGTGCAGGTCCAGCTTGTTCAAATAACAAAGGATGAACGTAGACCACCTTTCTGAGAACTCTTCTTTCTGTCAGCTATCTCTGATTGGCATGAAGCAAGGGAATTTGGCTGTCACTAAAGGTTTAAAACAATATTTGTCCTTTCATACTTGAGGGATATGTCACATTTCTGGTGCTTGCATGTGAGAATCCATGTCACTCTAATTGATTTAGGGCTTTGCTTTGTCAGGATGCCTTTTGTGTGAGCAGGGAGGAATAATGAGAGGACTAAATGCAATCTTAATCATAACTGAACAGGATAGCAAAGAACAAAGCATCATCCTCTACCAAAACAAATGATTTTTTTTTAAAAAAAGATGACTTAAATCTGCTCTACTGGTCAGTTTCTATATCTCACTTGTTCCCTGTTTCTGAGCGAAGCCTCCTTCCTTGCAGCTCCAGAACATTTTCTCCCTTCTAAAGCATTTGCATCCAGCAGTGTTTGATCTGCCTTGAGTATTTCAGCTCCAGGTTGCAAAATACCTGCTGGAGAACAAGCGGTAACATCACACGCTGTGTTGGCAAGCGGTGTATTAATAAGGACTGAGCTGGGATGATACGGAGATTGTGCAAAGACAGTGGAGTGTAGCAAGACAGATCCGCAAATGCAGAAGAACACATTTTCATGCCACGGGCTGCGGATTGCCTGACAAAGATGCAAAGAGAGTCGTGACTGCAACCCTGAGTCTTTTTTCTTTAAAAAATCCCTCCTGACGCAAAGCCAGCACAGATTCCCCACCCCCGAAAGTTCCTTGTACATTGCCCAGAAACACCGCCCTGCCTCAGGTCTTGTTGTGGGCTTCTCCGGGGGCACCTGTTTGGCCACTGCCGGGACCATGGCTTTGGGCTGATCCAGCAGCCAGATCTCCATCTGCTCTTCATTCCCTGGTGAGGAGCTGGAATCAAGGAGATTTCTCTGCCTGGAGGGCCATTTCAAAATAATCCCTGACACCACCAATGTGACTGGAGACAAAGAGATACAGCAGCCTATGTAGCTGCTTTGGATAATGCACTTGTCTTTTATAATCTTATTTGGCTTTTCAAGCTTGCAACGGGATCCACTCTTTGCATTCAGTTTTGCACACAGAATACCTGGGGGGGGGGGGAGAGAACTGTTGTTCCCTACATTCTAGATTAGGAGCTGCCACTACGAGAGTGGATGATGCCCCCCTCTTCCTGACTCACACCACATTTCATGGCAATCTCCTGAGGTTTCCATGTCCAACTTGTGTCTCTGCACCCCTGCATCTACCCAGCTGTATTTATATTGCATATGCATTCCAGGTTGATGTTACAGGAACGAGAGGGTTGATGGTCCAAAATGCTCAACACTTCAACAGAAAAGTGGGACTTTGGGGGTTATCTAGCCCACCTCTCTGGCTCAATGTAGGATCCGCAACTACAGCTCTCCCTGACAGACAGCCGCCTTAGCCTCTAAGAATGTAAGAAGAGCCTGTTGGATCAGGCCAATGGCCCATCTAGTCCAGCATCCTGGTCACCCATGGGATGCCCCAAAGCAGCACCCAGGGACAAGAGCCCCTCCCCTCCTGTGGTTTTCAGCAATCACGATGCAGAAGCATTTCTGCCTGACTGTGGAGGCAGAGCAGAGCCCTCCTGGCTAGCAGTCCCTGATCACCGTCTCCATTCAGCAGTATAATTCTCTTTTAAAGCCATCCAAGCTGGAAGCCATCCCTGCCTCCTGGGGGAGCGAGTTCTAGAGCATCACTATGTGCCTCCCCCTTCAACACACACATACCTTCACTTGCCACCACCTCCCACCCCAAGTGCTCTCGTGCAGGCATGGAGTACAGCTGGCCTTCCAGATGTGGTTGGACTCCAACTCCTCCGGCTTGTGCCTGCCGGCCATGTTGGTTCGGGCTGCAGGGAGTTGTCGTCCAATCCCATCTGGAGAGCACAGGTGTCCATTCCTCCTCTTTCCTGGTAGGGAAAGTGCCTCTGCCCTCTGGTCCTGCTGGTTGCCCTCTTCCACCCAGCCCAATAGCATCCTTGTTGAGCTAGGATCACTGGAACTGCCCACAAGACAGCTTTGGGGTGGTGGGCTGTTGTTGTTTCAGCCAGATTTTGTGGGGGCCCAGGCTTCACCCCTGCAGGGCCTTCCTTACTTGCAGACCAACTGAGCCTTGTCCCCTTTATAACTGGACATGCGAACCAGCAGTTTCCCCGGCGCCTGGCAAGTGTTGCAGTGAAAATTGCTGATGCCCAATGAGGCCAACTCTCTCTGCTCTTGCCCGGGACATTACAATCAATGCCTGGATTAATTGCCTTAATCTATCGTGATCAGCAGGACTGCAAAGGGACTCCCTGCTGCATTTCCATCATCATCAGAACTGCAAGCGGGGAGGGAATCACCTTCGAAGCGGATGTTGAACGTAGGGATGGCGCTGGGGTCCTCCGAGGCAAAGTCGATGCGTAAGGTGGTGCCCTCGCTGATCACCCCCTCAAAGGGGACGCTGTCGCTCTGGTGGGAGTTGTAGAGCACGGCCGACTGGTTGCTGTCTCCGTTGTAGACCAGTATGCTGCGGGTGTGGGGGATGGGATGGGACAGGCACAGGGTCAGGAAGGCCAGGCGGAAGGTCCAAGGGCTCCCTCCCAGAATCCTCTGCTGCCACCTGTCCCAGCTTGCCTAAGGCAATTGCTTGCTTTCTGGGAATTGTCCCTCTTTTGCCTTTGGGAAGAAGGAGTCTCCTAGGTGCAACTCTAAGAATATTTCCTAGACTCGCCTTTAAAAATCTCCCCTCCCCCCAGCACCATGTGCCCTCAATAATAACATTATGATGAAAGGAAAGATCAAAGTGCTGGGACAGCAGACATGAAAGCAATGAGATCCAGCAGAGCTATAGCATCCCTGCACAGACACATCAAAGAGGAGGCAGGGATGTCTTCAACCAGTACACATTACCTGTTTGGTTTCCCTGGCCCTGCACCCCCCAACCCCCTCCTATTAATGAAGCAATCATCTGAGCATGTGCAACAGCTGTCTCAAATGGAAACACCTCGTTGAACTGTGAAGTTTTCCATTTGGATGGGAGCTCATTTGAAGGGAAACCCATCAAACAGCTGCATTTTTCAAGAAACTACAGGATAGATATGGATTGTGGTTAACCTTGTGTGTATATATCTTCAAAAGCCAATGGAGGGAGTCTGGGGGTTGCAGAGTAAGCAGCAATGTGTACTCTTGTCGTGTGTGGGGAAGCGTCATAGCTCAGTGGCAGAGTGTCTGCCTTGCAAGCAGAGGGTCCCCAGCTCAATCCCTGGCCATCTCCAGGAGCGGTTGTGCGAGAGCCCTTCCCGAAACCCTGGGGTGCTGCTGCCTGCCACTGTTGACAATTTTGGGCTTGTGGGCCTGATAGACAGGCTTGGTATACAACAGCCTCCTCTGTTCAGTCCAATGCTCTCTCTGTGTTTCTCTAGTTCACATTTGGTTCAGCTCCCACCTCCACACCTCCATTTTTTAAAAAAACAACAACTAAGAGCAGGGGATTACCATTAACAACTCTCTGTGAGCCCTTTTGCGACTCTCTCCATCCCATAATTTTCCTCTTGGTGAATTGTCCCACCCTGCTCATTCCTCTTGCCCCTGCTCCTGCATGAAGCCATTATTTTAGAAGGATTATACAAGCTGAAACTCTCTCTCCACCTATGTGTTTACTGCAGTCATAAACAGATGTTTTACTCTTGGATTTCACTACAGCTCATAAAGTTGCTTTATTGCCCATTACCAGACTGCATTTTCTAATGCTCCTTTAAACACAAGCGTCAGTTCCTTAAACAGCCTTGTGTGTTGCAGGAGGCCTTCTGTCGACTGGTGCTGCTCCTTGAGGCTTGGGGGTTCCAGCAGGATTGTTCTGGGGTTGGGAGGAGAACTGGGCTCTGGACATGCGGCTTCCAGGCTACCAGGACTGGCAGTCATGTAAGGAAGAGAGTGAATGGCCTTCCCTTCCCTTCTGTCACAGGGGCAATTTTGAAGGCCATGTTTGTTCGTCAGACATTTTCACCAATACAATCCAACCTACTTTTCTCTTCTCATCCCAGACCTGTGGCGTAATCATTCAGTATGTCTGGCTGTTAACCAGAAGGTTGGTGGTTCAATTGCTGATTCTTTGATTTCTTTTCTTTGCTATGTTTGCACCTTTTTTGTTGTCAATAAATAAACAGTTAAGGTAATTTCCCTGAATAACTCATCCATCAGAATTATTGGGAGGGGGCAGAATTTTGCAGACAGATCTGGATTGGGGCCCAGTGGATTTGCACATCTTAGGAGTTTCCCCTCCTTCCCCAGCAGATGCCAGCTGGGCCACAACTCAGAGATCTCTGCACTCACTGAGCTGGAGCAGCAGCTGTAAGGAGACCTCACCTTTGCTTGTCTCCCAGCAGGAGACTCTCAAAATGCAGGTGAAGCTTCTGGTCCCCCTGGGTGCTGATGGTCCAGGTGCACAGCATGCTCTCAGTGTGATTCCTCCAATGAGTCGGGGCCAAGATGCGTCCGATGATGGCGTTGTGCACTGTTCCTCCACAGGGTGCTAGAGATGCAGGTGGGGGGGGGAGAGAGACGGGTGTGTGTGTGTGTGATCATCAGACAGTGACATCTTGCACCAGGCGCCCACATCCTTGCACTCCCAGCTCTGTATACCTGAGCAGATGGGCTCTGGGCTGCTCCAGTGCGGCTTGGAAGCATTAATGCAGGTCAGAATTTCTGGACCTTCCAGCTCATAGCCCAGGTGACAGTGGAAGTGTGCTGTGCCACCAGGATGCAGGCCCATGACGGTGACTTCCCCAGAATCTGGTCTCCGTGGGAAGCTGCAGCTCAGCATAAATACTGCAATGGAAGTGAACAGATGGGATTACAATCAGGCCCTGGAGGAGCACCTACCATGTCCCTAAGGGATGTAGCATATCTAGGCTGCTGGGTTTTGCAAGACCGTGGTTGTTGAGATCCTGTCTCATGAATATCATCTGGTCAATGGCAAGAGAGAACATAAGAACATAAGCAGAGCCTTCTGGATCAGACCAGCACCCCAATGGGAAGGAATCCAAATGTTCTGTATCCTCCAGGCACGCTTGGAGTTGTTCAGCAACCACCCACTCAATTACCTTGCCCAAGAATGGAAGATTTGAGACTGGGCAATAATTGGCCATATTGGCCAGGTCCAAAGATGGTTTTTCTAATAAGCGCTTTAATAACCACCTCTTTCAGCAGGTCTGCGAAGGCTCCCTCACAGAGAGAAGCATTCACCATCCTCTGGAGCCCATTGTCCAGCCCTTCCTAGATCACTTTTATGAGCAAGTTGCATATGATCAGTTTCAACTCCCAGGCCCACAAATATTAGTGCTTGGCCTCCACATGTCTCTCTCCTGTTTCTAAAAGCCAGAAGCTGCTCTCTGCTTCTTGAGCCAGGGAGGGAAATAAGAAAGGCAGGTGGATGGAGCTCTGCTCTAAGGGGCCAGAAGCAGCAATAAATTCACTCCTTAAAGAGATTTTTGGAGCTGCTGCTATTCAGTGGACGAGATCAAATTAGAGGAACTACTGGCCTGACTGGTGTAAGCTATCTTCTTAGGTTCCTCCATAAAGAACTTCTGGGATTCCTTGCTTATCAGGTGTTAGGCATTAAAATCCTAATTAAAAGCCCCCCTTTTTCTGAATGCCCTAAATATTTCTGGGGGAATTTGGGGAAAACTGGGGGTTGATATGGGTTATTGGGGAGGGTATTAATGTGGGAGAATAAATCAATTAAAGATTACTTCAATCTGAGATGCTTTGGGGGCTGATGAAGAAGAGTTGAACTGATTCAGAGAAGGGTCTGTTGGATTCCAGCAGGCTAGCTCTCCGATGGTGAAGACCACGCTTTTCAGAAAGCCATTAGATTAGTTATGCTGCTCATCATATTATGGGTTACATCATAGTAACTGCAGGTGCCCAGGACTCTGAGCTTTCATTCTTTCTCTCCACTACCTGCTTTTAAAATATGTCTCTACAGTGGCGGGCACACCCGGGGGGGGGGGAGGGGTGGAGGGAGCCCACTGCTGCTCACCGACTCTCCTCCAATCTGCTCCCAGGTCCAACCTGACCTGGAAACAGAGCTGCAGCTGGGCGCGAGGAAGCTGCCTAGTCCTTGCATGACTCTCTACTCTGCCTCTGGGTCAGGTCTGATCCGGGAGTGGAGCTGCAGCCAGGAATAAAGGAGCTGCTAATGCAGCTCTCTCTCTCATGCAGTGCAGCCAAGGAGAGGGGTAGCAGCTCTGCTGCTAACTCTCCTCCACTCCGCCTTGTGGGATGTGAAACACAAGAGCAGTCAAGTACAACATTCCTAGAGTGAACATGTTTGCACTTGGGGGGAATGTTTGTCCAGCCAGCAGGTAAGCTTCCTGTTTCCTTCTGGGCTGGGACAGACTTCCTCTGCATGTGACTAAGAGGTGGGTGTGGCCTCACCTGTGCAGGTAACGACAAAAGCACAGGGCAGGGCAGCCATCTCTCTCTTTTTTTTACTACATGCATCGAAGAAGCAACATCTGCTTTGCCAATGATGCCCAAAGGGACTGTCTTCTTATGAGATAGTTTCTAGGTATATGTTACTTTTCTAAGCTAAGTCTGCCTTCTGGGATCCTATTGTGAACAGAATGTTGTGTGAGTAAACCTTTTTATACTTTTATAGAAGACTGTGTCGTGTCTTATCTTTTATGAGGGAATAAGGGGAAAATCCCAGAACAGTTATTATAGAGGCTTTAGCGAGCCTAAGCAAACGCATCTGCTGCAAGTTTAAAAAGGGGAATGTTACTTTGCTGAAATTGTGGCACTTGTTAACACAAGTTGGAAAAGGATATAATCAAACAATATACCCTCTCCTGCATCCCTGAACATTCCCACACAACCCCCGGGTCAGACCTGACCTGGGAGCAGTGCTGGTGCTGGGTGCACACTGGAGGCGGGCTCTGATAGGAGCTTGGCTTGTTGTGGTGTGCCTTGTCGCACCCCCTCCCAAAAATGGGCCTGGGGCAACACACACACCCAGCCCTCCATACCATGCCAGTGTTTCTCTAGACACCATAGAAAAAAAGTTATGAAACAAAATGTGCAGGCAACTTTCTGTGAAATGAGCCAGCCAGACTGCTATAACCTGGCAGTGTTTTCCATGAAGTCATCAGGCTGTATGAATCCCTGGGATCCCAAAGAGTTTCTGTTTAGTGCACCTTCCCTGTTTTTGCTGTTTTTCTTGCTTGTAATAAAATTTTTATTATTATAATAATTATCTGTCTATATCAGAAGGAAGTCTCTTTGTGTTTAACGGGGCTTATTCCCAGGTAAGTAGGCACAGGGTGTTGTTGTTGTTTATTCGTTTAGTCATGTCCGACTCTTCGTGACCCCATGGACCAGAGCACGCCAGGCACGCCTGTCTTCCACTGCCTCCCGCAGTTTGGTCAGACTCATGTTTGTAGCTTCGAGAACACTGTCCAACCATCTCGTCCTCTGTCGTCCCCTTCTCCTTGTGCCCTCAATCTTTCCCAACATCAGGGTCTTTTCCAGGGAGTCTTCTCTTCTCATGAGGTGTCCAAAGTATTGGAGCCTCAGCTTCACGATCTGTCCTTCCAGTGAGCACTCAGGGTTAATTTCCTTAAGAATGGATGCGTTTGATCTTCTTGCAGTCCATGGGACTCTCAAGAGTCTCCTCCAGCACCATAATTCAAAAGCATCGCCTTTCTCCCAAGAAGCAGGCGTCTTTTAATTTCGTGACTGCTGTCACCATCTACAGTGATCATGGAGCCCAAGAAAGTAAAATCTCTCACTGCCTCCATTTCTTCCCCTTCTATTTGCCAGGAGGTGATGGGACCAGTAGCCATGATCTTCGTTTTTTTGATGTTGAGCTTCAAACCATATTTTGCGCTCTCCTCTTTCACCCTCATTAAAAGGTTCTTTAATTCGTCCTCACTTTCTGCCATCAGGGTTGTGTCATCTGCATATCTGAGGTTGTTGATATTTCTTCCAGCAATCTTAATTCCGGCTTGGGATTCATCCAGCCCAGCCTTTCGCATGATGAATTCTGCATATAAGTTAAATAAGCAGGGAGACAATATCCAGCCTTGCCGTACTCCTTTCCCAATTTTGAACCAATCAGTTGTTCCATATCCAGTTCTAACTGTAGCTTCTTGTCCCACATAGAGATTTCTCAGGAGACAGATGAGGTGATCAGGCACTCCCAATTCTTTAAAAATTTGCCATAGTTTGCTGTGGTCGACACAGTCAAAGGCTTTTGCATAGTCAATGAAGCAGA